TGAGGCAGCCCGAGGGAAGACGATTAGGGAGCCAAGACGGCCTACGCGAGAGGCATCTGGCATTGCCCAAGAGTTCTCCAGGAGGTTTCAAAAAGCCCCGAAGATGATCCACGAGGCCGCCAAGACAGAAATTTGACCCCCTAAGACAGTCGCCGTTGACTCTGACAGCCCCGACGAAGACCCGAAACGACGGAATGCTCTGGGCTGGGAGAAGACACAACCCCACAAGCTCAACCAACACCTGGCATTTGAAAAGAAGAGTGCGGCGAAGCCGCGCAAGGTCGTAGGTGACCTTCCCCTTTTTAAGTAAGTGGTTTGCTTTAGAACACCAGTATACAAATTATCTGACCGCTGCCACCGCCGGCATCATCTGCGTAATCTTCAATGCCCAGGTGCCACGGAAGAATGCCCAATAGGGCACAAGTGCAGCCTGGGAGGCACCAAGACGCGCACAAGAGACCCCCGAGAGATCACAAGAGAGACCGCAGAGGCCGCAAAGACTGTCTAATCGCTTTAGGTTTCTTTTCCAGACGAGCGTTTTCAATATTCACAGACCATCACTCACAGTAGGCCCGGCGAGCGGGATTGTTGTGTTCATGCGCGACGTCGCTGTTTGTTGTGCTTGTTAGTTCTGTTTCTGGAAGCGGCCGCTCGCAGCCAGGCACGTCCAGAGTTTCTTTGTTGTCTCGGGCGCGGCCTTTCGGGATTGGCCGCTCGCAGCCAGGCAGCCGTTCGTGGTTATGCTTGTCGCTTCGGGGCCCGCTTCTGGGCATGGGCGTAAGACAAAGTTTCCTGAACGAGCCCAGAGACTTGCTTGTCGACCGAGGCCTGAGGAGGTAAGGCACGGTGTCACAGAGGAGCCCGTGGACGCGTGGTAGGGTTTCCAGGAAGAGTCGATAGATTTAGACTAGGGAAGTGCGAAAGGATCTTCAAGACTTCAGGCCTTCCCACAGGGACACAAGGAGGTAGGCCAAGGCTTCACGGAGGAGTCCACGAACTTAGGATCGGGCATGTTGATTGGAAGCCCTACGGACTTAGGAAAAGGCTTCTATCACGAAGCCCAGTGACTGGCGAGAGGGTGGCCGACAGGAGCCCGAGAACGTACGACTAGGTTTCCCAGAGAAGCCTCCTTCGAAGGGATCCCAAGGGCACCGGATAGCGTTTCCGACAGGAGCCCGAGGACGTCAGATAGGGTTTCCTACAGGATCCCAGGGACTTCGGAAAGGGTGATCCAAAGAAGCGCACGGTCTTGGGATAGGGTATCCAGGAGAACATCCAGGACTTAGGATAGGGCTGCTAGGAGAAACCCGAGGTTCTAGGTAGACCAAGAAACACACGACACCACCCCACCTACGGCACGCCGCGCTGGATATTTGACCTTGCCTCGCTGTCCTTCGCGCGGTGTTTCTGGCCGACGACGGCATGATGGCGACGCGCTGGGCAATCGTAGTTCGCCATGACTTCGACGCGCTGGTCGGGGCCACTTCGTTGTCAACGCGGTCGGGTTGTTCTGTCAGTTCGCCGCTTGTCTGGGGGGGTGTCGCCGCGCGGCATGAGGGCTGTTGCCTCGCCGAACTCGCGGGCTTCTTGTCGCGCGGGGCACAGGGTGAGTTTGCGTGGTGTTGGGATGTATGATAGGGGTCCTCAAGGGGTCCTCAAGGGGCCCACGGACTTGGGACATCGTTTCCAAGAGGAGCCCCATGGCCCAGGATAGAGTGCTTGGAATGGCCTCAAGGGCTTAGGACTGGCTTTCAACCAGAGCCCGATAGTGTAGGATAGGATGTCCTGGAGGAGCCAACGGACTTGGCATAAGGTTTCCAAGAGGAGCACCATGGCTTGGAGTATGGCTTCTGAGAGTAACCATTTTTATCCAGATACAATATTCGGCAGGAGCGGGAGGACGTCTGGAACCCCGACAGGGGCACACAGACTTCGCACAGGATATAGAAGACTAACCCCAGGACATCCGGTAGAGCGTACGAGAGGAGCCTGAGGTCTGAAGATAGGGTGTTCGCCAGGAGGCCCGGGACGTAGGATATAGTTTAAGCCCACCCCCCGAACATGGAATACAAATTACAAGAAGAGCACCAGGACATAGTCCGCAAATGCTGTTGAAATGAGCCCAGTGATTTAGACTTGGGTTCTCGAGTGGAGCCCGAGGACATAAGAATACGGATTCCCATATAGGTCCCAGGAATCCGAATGTAGTAATTGAAAGGAGACCAAGTGTTTAGGACACGCTGCATCATGACTTAGGACGAGGTGTTCGACGGGAGCCCGCCCAAGGCCTTGGGAGAAATTTAGCATCCGTCGACGGAGCAAACAGGATTGGGTATCCGAGAAGAACTCACGGATAAGGTTTCCGAACGGAGCCAAAGTATGGAGGAACTTGCTTCAGGGAACAAGGAGTTGAGATATGGGCGTGGCGAAAGGCACCATGTTGATGAAAGGGTTACCCGTCGGTCGGAAGAAGTGGGTAGAAGCATGAAGTAGGAAGGCGATGGAGGTAGACTGGGCTTCCGCCCGCCTCCTGAAGAGGAAGGAAGAAGGACAGCCACTCGATCATTGAAGTAGGAAGGCGACTGAAGGCGATTGGAATACGGGAATCCAGAAACGCATACTTCCAACGACCGGCGTGTAGCGGCAAGGGTATGAGGTAGGAACTGTCCTGGGAATCCGAGAGGAGCCACAGGGCATACCATAGAGCTTCCTAGGCCAGCCCAAAGACTTAGGAGTGGGCTCCCGAGGGGAACCAACGGACTCGGGAGAGGGCTTCCCGGAGGAGCCAGCGTCGGCAGCGCGCAGGGGGGGAAGTGAGAAAGGGCGGGCCGTCACAGAGGGCTCGGATGTCCCGCAGCCTTCTGGGAAGTTTCCTGAGCCTTCCCCGAAGACACAGAACACCTCTCAGAAGGCGTGTGGCTTCTGAGAAGTCCCGCCGCCTTCCGAGAAGGCATCATCCTTCTCATTTCCCACCCTCGCTCGCCGCCGATCCTAGAGGAGCCCATACATTGGTAAGGCTCCCGATGTAGCCTCGTGGATGAGCCAACGGGCTTGGCATCTGATTTCTGGGCTGAAGCCAACGCCCTGAAAGGAACGTAAGGGCTTGAGGTGGGGATTTCGACAGTTGCGTAGCACAGGGTTCTCTCCAGAGGAACCCGCCCATTTGGGATACTCTCCCTGAAGGGAGCCGATTGACTCGGGATTGGATGTTCGACAGGGGCTTCCTCGAGGAACCCCCAAAGACTTGGCTTAGGACAGTGGTTCTCGAAGAGCCCGAAATCGTCGCCGTCCACCCTCCGCCCCCACGTCGTCATCCCCAAATCGCCGCAATTCTCATCCTTCTCCTCCTCCTCCTCCTCCTCCTCCTCCTCCTCCTCCTCCTTCTCCTCCTCCTCCTGATCCGCACTCCTCCGCGCGTTCAACCCCGCTCCTCCGCACTCCCCCGCACTCCTTCCAATCCTTCCCCAATTCGGGTTACACAAATGTTGTTTTACAGCTGCGTGTGTTTCAAACTGCGATGTTGGCGTCTGGCTCACATGCTCGTTCGATCTTCGTGTTCCTGATATGTATGCGGCCATGTGGCTCACTGGCTCACCAGCTAGATTGGGGGGGGCGCCCTGACCAGTGCAGAGGCCCAGCAGGCCAACAGGAGTCTGAAGAGAGGCGCCACGAGAGGCCCAACGAGGCACCAAGAGAGGCAGCAGAGCGCCGCACGTGTTGAATCAGCAGGTGTTGCTCGGAGTTACAGCTCCATGACTAGAACTGGCCCGGGTGCCGCCTACCTGTTTGGCCATTGGGCGAGATGGGCATTCACATATAATCCGATGTGGATTCCCAAGTGGATTCAAACGGAGCCACAATTGTGCCCAAATGGCGTCATATGGGGTCCAAAGAGGGCTGCAGTGGCGTCCAATGTGTTCCCACGGAGGAATCTGAAAACGGCTGGAGTCGAATGGAGTCCACGCCTTATGCATTCCTACGGAGACCAATGGAGTCCCATGGAGTCCAATGGAGCGCAGTGAAGTGCAATGATGTCGAAACGAGCCCAAAGATATCATATGCAGATCTGTCGTCAGTGGCGCCCAATGGAGCCAACATCAGTCCAATGCAGTCCATTGAATCAAGACTGTTCAATGGAGTCATATGGGGAGTCCTTGGGAGTCTACAGGATTGCGACAGTGTCCCATGGAGTCCATTGGGGTCCTATGGAGACCAACGTGGTCCAATGGAGCCCAACCGTGTCCCATGGCAAGTAATGGGCAAGTAATGACATCCAACTGAGCCCACTTGAACTCTATGGAGCCCAAACGAATCCTGTGGAGACCAATAGAGTCAATTGGACCCGCAGGCTCCAATGGAGTTGTATGAGCCCCCATGGAATACAATGAAGTCCAATGTATTGCAATGGCGCCTAATGGAGTCCTATGGAGTGCAATGGGTTGCAATGGTGTCCATGAAGTTCAATGGGACCTTGCGGAGTCCAATGGAACCGAATGAAGTTCAACGGAATCGGTTGGACCTATGTAGTATGATGGGCTCCACTGGAGTCCAATGGAGCCCAAAGGAGGTCAATAGAGCGCAATGGAATCCTGTGGAGACGAATGTTGTCCTTTCAGCCATTTCGACTCTTACGATTTGCACTCAGAGCGGGTAGACATGTGCCTCCCAAGCTCTAGGCCCGAACATGTAGCCAAGAGAGACGAACAGTGTCTCGAAAGGTTCGAAGATAGGTTCCAAGACAGCCGAAGGTGGCCCCAGGAGATCCCCACGACTGCCGAAGACAGCACCGCGAAGGCTCCAGGAGGGCCCCGAGAAGGACCAGGAGGCGAGCAAGATCGCCGCAAATACCCCCTGACAACGGTCTACTCGAGGATTTGTTGCAACGGCCAGGGGGGCAAACGGCCCGGTAGCTGGACCAATCGTGTGCCCGCCATGCGGCCTCGCCGCCGCTTCCAACACATGAGGTGGCTGCGGTGGCTCGCCGGAGGCGCCTTCGATACCAGAGTCACCACGCCCCAGGTCAGGAATAGTGGACTGAGGTGGGCGTACAGGGGCATCCCGTGGTTTCTTTTGAAAGACAGGTGCCCAAACGAAGCCAGGCCGCTGGATATGGCGATCTTGCTCAGGACCACGATAATCGTAAGACCGTCGACGGGTCTCCTCTCGACATCCTCGTGCTTTGCTTCTGCAAGGGTCAGCGTCACCATGCTTAGGCTTGTCGAAAGAAGCGAGAGCCACATCGTGGCAGTGGGTCTCGCGTGGCGACCGACCATCACCCACATCATCAATGCGGTCAGGACCATCCTGGAGTTATCCAGGACCCTGCACGCCGTCGCTTGCAGCGACGCCATGGAGATGGACTCAATGTAAGTGCACATCGCCAGCAGGAGACCGATTATGCGAAAGTCGCTTGCGAAAGGAGCCGAGTACCATGCCCACGGATCCGATCTGACCCCACGCTCGGGAAAAAGAGCCAACAGATGGCACACGGACATGCCAACGACAGAAGTCACGATCGTGGTACTGAGCTTGTGATATCTCATCTCTTTGTGGATCTGATCCCACGGTGGAGTGCGCAACAAAACACCCTCGAACTCACTTCTTTCAAGCCGCTGATACCCACCGTTCCTGTAGTGAACACGTACCGTGTCGTCTGACGCTCTGATTTCTACAATCGTAGCCCACTCAGAAAATTTATAAAATCGTCCCTGCCGAAGCAGTGGAACCACCATGCCAACCTCGTAGCGGCCTGGCGCGAGCATCGGCGTCAACAGGCTCTCGAACTCGCGCTTCCTGAAACACTTCATCCCTCGGTCTCTCGTGTAGCGCACTTCCACGGTCCCCCCGCCGTCTCGAATGTCCACGACCCTGGCATGGAAGTGCTCGTGGGGAGACCACTCCCCCGTGCCTCGTCGGGGGCGCGCCGACCCGGGCCAGCGCCAACCCGTGTCAGCCACGGCCATGCCGCGAAGCCTGGCCCGCCGCACAGCAGCTCCCAAGCGCGGGCCAGCGGAGGGAGGGAAAAGGGCGGGGGCCAGCTCCGGACGACTTCCACAGCCGGGGCAGCCCGAGGGCCGGCTTCTTCTCTCCGCAACCCTCCTGTGTGTTCAGTCATCGGTTTGAAGTCGCAGCGCCGAGCGTCTGCTTCTCCTTCTCCTCATCACATCTTCCTCCTCACTGCGTCCGCATGGCTACTCGGGTCCATGTCGGCACACCCCACAGACGCTTCGTGGCCCCAGAGGGAGCTCCACCAAAGGCCCTCAAGTGCTGCGTCCGCATGGTTCTTCCGGTCACTTTCGATACACCTCTCACACGATTCGTGGCCCCACAGGGAGCTCCACCGAGGGCCCCAGTGGTAGCGTCCGCACGGTTGCTCGGGTTCATTCTGGCACACCCGTCACACGTTTCGTGGCCCCCGTAGGGAGCTCCACTGAGGCTCCACAAGCAGGGTCAGCATGGGCGTCGTGCGCGGTCGTGGGCGCTGCAGATCCCTCAGTATGTTCATGTGCGTTGGGCGTGCCTGCTGACACGCGCCACTCGTGTACACTGGGCTGGATTCTTCGCCAAGGTGTTTCTTCGTCGCAGCACGGCGGAGGCAATCCACACGGGCGCTCACGGCAGTCGGGGACGCTCGCCTAACTAATTGAGGGCCAGCTACACGCGAGAGTGGCACTGGGCACGAGTGGCTCTCGGTGCGTGGCCTGCCGAGCGTGAAAGCAGCAACTCACCTGCACAGGCCTGGCCCTGCAGCGCCCCCGAGAGCCGCGCACCCAAACGTCACTCCGCCGGAAGGGTCAGTCAGGAGGGATTGGACGGTATACTTGCTGGCTCACGCCAGTGGAGGGCAGAAAATCCACCCCGATAAGAACCACCCCGACACGCGAAGCCGTTCAGTAAACGCACCGACAGAAGGAATCAAACAGGGCAGGCCTGTTTAGTAAACACCCAGGGCCGTTTAGTAAACGCCAATCGTCCAGTCCGGGTGGTTTTTCCTCCCTCGAGCTAGCGCTGGCAGCAGTTGCGTGCGCCCCGTGCCTCGCAGGCGCACAGCGCAGCCGGCCTTGTAGGCCACGATCGCGGACTCGTCCGGGCGAACGGTTGCGCTGGTGATCGGCACCCTCGAGAAATCGACCTCGGCGGCGCACGCGGGGGGGGGGGGGGGGGCCACACTCAGGAGCAACCCGGGGCAAGTTAGGTCGGGCATGTCCCCCCCTACAGGCGGACTTTCGACGGAAAAGATGCCAAACAAAAAAGTTCAACAACGATCCGAAAAGCGCTCCCAAACGATATGTCTGACTATCTTTGAACATTCCTCCTGTAGAGGGACCCGCCCGACTTAGGGAAGAGTGACATCTGTACTTGGTGCGCGGCGTGCCGCTCGCTGCACGCGATGCGGCAGCAGCGGCCTGCGCACTTGGGCTTGCCCCCCCCCCCCCCCCCCCCCAGCGCACTCCGAAGGCCGAAAGCCACGCACCAAAGGTCAAACTGGAGGAGGGTCACTGCCACGCGTTGCCGACATGGCATGGCCAGGAGCACCCAAACCATCGAAGGGCAGAGAGCGTCCAAAAACTGTCGCAGGTGAGCGCGCGGACCTCCTCCTGGGCTGGCGCTGCGAAGTGCGCCAGGAGTGTCCAGCGCCGGCCCGAGAAATCCACGCGGCCCTCCGGGCTCCCCCCCCAACCGGGCCTATCCCCCCCTATCGTTGCCCCTGAGTGGACCAAGTTTCCTCCTTCCTCCTCCTCCTCGCCTCCTCATCCTCCTCTCTCCTCCTCCTCCCTCCTCCTCCTCCTCCTCCTCCTCTTCCTCCTCCTCCTCCTCCTCCTCCTCCTCCTCCTCATCATCATCATCATCATCAGCATCATCATCAGCATAATCATCATCCCGATCCAGTTTGTGTGGCCTCCTCCTGGAAGCTGTACGCCCACAGCGCCCCGCCGATCCTGGGCCCAGGAGCCGTGCGTACGCCCTGCTGGCCCCGGGAGGATCGCGCACGCATCGATCCCAGGCGAAAAAAAAGAGGAGGATCAGCATCATCGTCATCGGCATCATCATCATCATCATCATCATCATCATCATCATCATCATCATCATCAGCATCATCATCATTAACAAAAGCATCACCACCATCATCATCATCCATCATCATCACCCATCATCATCTTCATCAGCATCATCGGCATCATCGTCATCATCATCAGTATCCTCCCCCTTACTTCTCGTCGCCCTGATTTCCCCCGCCCGGCGCGCCAGCACGCAACGAAACTTCTCGTCGCCCTTGCTGCCATCGCACGCTTAGATTCGACGTGCAACGGAAGACACGCGATCGTCGACAAGAGGAAAAAGAGAGAAGGGACTCAGCTTTCTCGATGAAGGCACCGAGGCGACATGTACTCTCACCGTGGAGCAGGCGGACGCAGGGCAGAAGGATCGCACTCCCACATACAGACCTCAACATGTACCAAGACGCCCTCCCTTGCTTTACCCAATGCTACCACTCAGTTTGAGTACTGCGCGTGGAAAAAATGTGCGTGCTGCGTTGGCAAATCAAATCGTACAGTTGGTGCTAGGTTGAAGGCATTGCTGCCCGTGTCATGTCACGATGCATGTGCTTCGTACCTCTTTGTGATTGCACCGTCGTTCAGATACGATGCGGGAGCGATGCGGGTCCAATTCAGGCGCAACATAAGCGTGCTCAGGTTCATTCGCGCACGACTCAACTTGCTCAGTGATACTCAACTGGCTTACTCAGAAGATCCACTCAGGTTGATACGGGTCTGACCCAGATCCGTCCACTTCGTGCAGATTGATTCAGGCCGTCGGCTCATGATAGCTCAGGTTGAGCCTGTTACCCCTCCCCGAAACCCTCCCCCGGGAGCCTAGTCTGGCCGAGTTTGAAAGGGGAGAGTGGGGGGGAGAAGGCGACGGCTGTCTCATCTGGCCCTGGAAACCTCCCGAGCGCGCGACTCGTCAAATAAAGTCTCGTCGCTGGGACGGCCCCAGATGGCCTCAATACAGCCCCAGAGGCTCCCAGGACGGCCCAAGAAAGCCTCAGGAGGAGCACCAAGAGGGTGCCATGAGGTAAACTTACTGCTTCAATGACCTACATGCTTGACGTACTCGCCGTTTCGATGTTCATGGTGTTTAAGATAACCCAAGAGGCCCCCCAATACTGCCCCAAGACAGCGCGCGAGGCCCGAGAAAGAGCACCAGAACGGCCCAAAAGGAACCCAAGCCAGAAGAGCCCCAAGACGCCCCCAAAGAGGCCCCCGAGAGGCCTCCCTCCAAGAGGCCTCCAAGAGGCCCCAAACTGACAAACCAACAACACACACCCATACCCATGGGGGGGTCGGAGAGGGCTATGGGTGCGTGTTGTCGGACGGGGGTCCCCGCTCGAGCGGGAGCGTTCCCCAGGGTCCGACAACCCGCACCCATACCCACAGCCAGTCCTCCTCTCAGCGACCCCCCTGTGGGTATGGGTGTGTGTTGCTCGTTCGTCAAAAACTGCGCAACCTGGAATGGGCGGAGGAGGAGGAGGAGGAGGAGGAGGAAGAGGAGGAGGGGGAGGAGGAGGAGGAGGAGGAGGAGGAGGAGGAGGAGGAGGAGGAGGAGGAGGAGGAGCGGACCCTCTTCAGCACGGGCCCTGGGCTGCGCAGGTGATGCACGGCGCCAGGGCGCTCCTGCCAGAGCGCCCTCCGGGAGAGCGGCGCCCGGGGCTCCGGGGGATCGGCAGCGCGGCGCGGGACGGCGACTCCACGTCTGGGAAGAGCGTGCTGAGCGGCAGTGCTTCTCGGCGAATGCCTTCATGCAACGTGGCCCGTTATCCAGCCTTGTGCAATTGCGATGCACGTCGGTCGGAAGAAGTAGGTAAAAACGTGAAGTAGGAAGGCGGATAAAGTGGATTGGGCCCAGGCCCTCCCAGAGAACAACAAAACACAGCAAAAGCATAGCGATTCTTGAAGTAGGAAGGCGCTTGAAGTAGATTGGGATCTGGGAATCCAAAAATACATACTTTCAACGACCGGCGTGTAATTGCGATAGCTTGTGGTACAGTGGGGGCCGATGCAAAAGAAACCCGCCGCCTGAAGTCCGCCGAGGCTTCGTGGTCCAGGGCTGGGTGTCTTGCACTTCGGCTGCAAACGAAGAAACCCAGGGCACCCTGGCCCGAGCGGTTTCTTGACTGATGGCGTCGAACAATTTGACATTAAGAAACCCAAGGCGATCGAAGATGCGAGCTGCGGGCCTTGCACAAACAGAAAGGCCACGGCTTCTCCTCGGTGGAAAAGAACCTTTGCGCCCACCTGACTCAGGCCAGGGTGGCGAATAAACCCAGGGCCCGAATGCCTTGAAGTTTCTTGGAGGTTCGGGCGCGCGCCCCGAAACTGACCGACGCCCAAGAAACCCAGGGTGCCCTGGCATTTGCAGTTTCTTCGAGATTGCGGCGACGTTCCGCGCCGAACGCCAGCCAAAGAAACCCAGGGAACCCTGACAAAACGTAGGGTGTTTCTTGTCATGGTCCCCCACTGCATTTTACATTATTATGTGACCCCTCCTACCCCCACCCCCCGGAGTCGCGCCACATCGGCGGGCCAAGTGGACGGCACCCACTCTGGGTTTCGGAAAAGTCGGGGATGGACAGACCTCCCTTTAGTAAAACGTGGTTTAGTGAAAACGACCTGAGGCCCAAACCTGGCGGGCGCAAGCCTGGAAAATAACGGCCGCGGCGCGCTCTCGAGAACCAAAAACGGACAATTCACTAATCGACGTGTCACTGTTGGGGGTTCTGTCCACCTCCGAAAAAGCACCAAAACAGATGGTACATCATATGTATCCGCCTAGTGGGCCACCTGGCAGGTCCGAGAGGGCCTCCAGACGGCTCAAGATGGCCTCAAGATGGCCCAAGAGAGCCCAAGAGAGCCCAAGAGCACCCAAGACGGCCCCGGAAGGCCCCAAGTTCGAGGGGCCCCCCAAGAGCACCTCCTGTAGCCAAAATCAAATAAGTTCTACTGGGCTCTGACGGATTTTACGTTCTCGCCTTTGTCGACGCTCGGGGGCCCCCTGGCCGCCCAAGCAGCCTCCGAGACTGCCCCAAAACGGCACAAGGGGCAAGAGGGCCCGAGGGCCCCAAAGTGGCCAAACGAGGCCGCCGAGACGGCCCGAGTGCCCCAAGAGAGGCCCAAGGGTGGCCCCGAGAGGCCCCCCCGACGGCCTCCGATGGGGCCAGACGGCGCAGGAGCGTCCCCAGATGGACCAGGACGCCCTCACGAAGCCCCAGGAGGCCCGAGAGAGACCCCCAATGGGCCCCAAGAGGGACCCCCGGAGGCCTCTCCGAGGCCCCCAAAGGGCTCCCAAGAGGCCTTCGAGCTGCCGGACTGCACATTCTTACTGGAAGCAGGTCCGCGGATGCTGCAACGCAACGTATTCAAGTGATCGAAATATTGCAGAACTACTCCATATGGCACTATCAGAATAGACTACGTCTCCCCCCCTTACCCCACCACCCCCCCAGGAGTCGCGCCACACCCGTCGACCAAAGATGATGGGCCCCTTCTGGGGCCCCAGACCTACCAAAACATTTTGAGCATCTATGATTTAAGCCTTTTGGCCATCTTGGGGGTCCAAGGAGGGCCTCGAGACGGCGCAAGATGGCCTAAAGACGGGCCAAGACGGCCCGATGACGACCCAAGATGGCCCCGAGGGGGCTCCATAGGACCCCAGACGACCCAGGATGGCCCCTGGAGGACCCCCATACAAACATAACTGTCCTCATGGGTTTTGACATATGTTCGCGTTCTCGCCATTCTCAACTCCCCAGGACCCATGATGGCCCAAGCAGCCTCCAAGATGGCCCCAAGACGGCCCAAGGGGCCTCCAAGAGGCCCTCGAAACGGCCCACGAGGGCCATAAGATTGCCCAAAGAGGCACCCAGGACGGCCCTCGAGGCCCCCGAAAACAGTCGAAAGGGGACCCCGAGAGAGCCCCAAGGCGGCACCGAGAGGCCCCCGAGACAGTCTTCGCGGGGGCCAGACAGCGCAAGAGCGATCCAAAGCTGCCCACGAACCCACAAGAGGCCCCACGGCGGTCCCCAGAAGGCCCCGAGAAGATCTCAAGAGGCCTCCAAGACGCACCCAAGAGGCCCCACGTCGGCTGCATACGCCCAGCGTGACACTCGAAGGCCCCGCCGAGGCAGACAAACCTGGAAACGTTGTTTTTTCCAGAATCGTTTCCAGACGAGCACGAGGTCAGTACTGGTGAGGTGACAGCGACGACGGCCCTGCTGACTATGATGATCCTGCGCACAAGGAGAGCCTTGGCCCCCGTGGGGCGACACGTGCAGGGAACGCGCTCCCGAATGACGCGGAATCCACGTCCGCAGGTGACGTGCGAAGCGACAGCTGTTCCCGGCGAACGCCGTAATTCAACGTGTATGGTGCATCTGATACGGCATACCTGCTACACGTTGCATGTTCACTATGATGTCTCCACCCCCACCCGCCCCTGGGGAGTCGCACCACATCCGTCGACCACACTCAACCAAGCCTTACTGGGCCTCAAGATCGTAGGAAAATATACGATCTCCTGGGGGGCCCTGAAGGGCCAAGACGGCCCAAGATGGCCCCAAGGGACCCCAAGAGGCCCCCAAGACGCCCCAGAGGGGGCCCCAAGAGCTGCTCCAGAGGCCAATCTCCTTATGGGTTTTGCAGGATTCTTCCGTTCTCGCCCTTGACGGCCCAAGAAACCTCCAAGATGGCCCCAAGACTGTCCCACAGGTCCCCAAGATGGCCCCAAGAAAGCCCCAGAGGGCTCCAAAATATCCAAAGAGGCCCCCACGACGGCTCAAGAGGCCCCCAAAACGGCCCAACAGGACCCCAAGAGAGCTTCAGGGCGGCCCCGAAAGGCCCCCAAGACGGCCTCCGAAGGGGCTTGACGGCGCAAGAGCGCCCCAAGACGGCCCACGAGGCCCGCAAAAGGCCCCAAGAGGCCCCAAAGAGGCCCCCAAGAAGCCCCCAGGAGGCATCCAAGCGGTCCCCAAGAATTGTATACGAATGGCGCGCTGTTGCAATGCTCATCGAAATTTGAACTTGGGGGAGGCGCATCTGCCCCCTGCGGCACTAGCAGCGCCCCAAGGCAGACAGATCGACACGGCAGAACAGCGCGGCAGACGAGCAGCGCAAACCACCCAACGCAGAGTCGTTACGTGCTCTGGACGTGCACCCCGTGAAGCGAGAGGAGTCCACGTCCGGACTGCAGCGTTCTTTCTGCGAAGTCTAGAATGCAACGTATCCAACGTACCCCATTCTTGATTAAGTGCTGCATGTTGTAGTTGTTTACCTTATTGTGTATCCTCCCCTGCCCGTTCCCCCCCCCCCCCCCCCCGGAGTCGCGCCACATCGGCGGACCAAAGTGCTCCTGGTCCTTCTGGGGCCCACACATGCACCAAAACGCATGGAACACCTATGATCCAAAAGGGCCTCCAGTCGCCTCAGCATAGCCTCCAGTGGGCCCAAGACTGCCCAAGACTGCCCAAGATGGCCCCAAGAGGACCCAAGCGGCCCCCAAGACGGCCCCAGAGGGCCCCAAGGGAGCCCCCAAGAGCACCTCCAGAGGCCAAACACAGTGATTCCCCTTCGGGCTTTCAAAAATTGTCGAGTTCTCGCCCTGTCGACTCTCAGGGGCTCATGACGGCCCAAGCAGCCTCCAAGATGGCCCTGAGACGGCCCCCGAGGGCCCCCAAGAGGGCCCCAAGACTACCCAAGCGTGCTCCAAGATGGCCCAACGAGGCTCCGAAGACGGCGCAAGAGGCCCCCAAGACGGCCCAGGATGACCCCAATGGAGCCACACGGCGGGGCCCCGAGACTGAAAGGGCCAGACGGCGCAATGGCGCCCCAAGACGGCCCGAGAGGGCCGTAGAGACCCCCAGGAGGGCCCCAAGACGGCCCAAGTGGGCCCCAAGACCCAAGACAGCCCAAGAGAGCTCCAAGACGGCCCCTAGAGGGCCCCAAGAGGGAAGCCCGAGCTGACAATTCGAGCACCTTCCGTCCCAAGATACCCCCAAGAAGCCCCGAAAGGCCCCCACGAGGGCTCAAAGACAGCCTTAGAGGGCCCCCAAGAAGCTTCCAAGAGGCCCCCAAGAAGCTCCCAAACGGCCCCAAGAAACCACCGAGAGGCCCGCGGAATTGTCGATGAATGGCGCGTTGTTGCGATGCTCATCAGACTTTGAACTTGCCCTATGCTGATACACGGTAAATGCCCGTTGCCCTCGTGGGCGTTCGCTCGCTCGTCCCGGCGCCAAAAGGGGGCGGGGTGGGAGGGGGGGGCATCGCTCCCCGTGGCGCTGGCAGCGCCCAGGGGCGAGCAGCCCGACACACGGCAGAACTCGCCTGAACTCACGGCAGACAAGCAGGGCACACCACCCAACGCCCAGTCTTCACGTGCTCCGGACGTGCCCCCTGCGAAGCGAGAGGAGTCCACGTCCGAACTGCACCGAAGCGCCTCGGCAGTCCAAAAGGACGGGTATGCGGCGAAAGGGCCAAGTCACGATGCGTCAAGGAAGCCCAAGTGCACCACAATGCATTTCATTCTTGGGAAAGCAATCCCCCTTACGCAATTACTCCCACCAGGCCCCCCGCCGATGTGCCAAACCCACGGAAACTCACTGATTTTGGCCTCTTGCAATTCCTGGGGGTCCAAGATGGCGGCAACGCTCGGGCGTTTCTGCCTACGCGCGGGCGCTCTCGGGCACTCTTGAGCGATCCCGGGAATCCCCGCGTAATCTTTCTGGAGGCCTCGGAAGCGTGGCCGCGGTTTCAACCTCCAACGTGCTCAACGATAGCTCCAAGGGGCCATCCCAGGCCTGTTTGGGGGCCCTCCTGGGGCCCTTCGGCATCCAGCCGTGGCGACGGCAATCTCTAGAAACGCCCAAAAGCATTGCATCGACGACACCGGGGACGACGAAGAAGGCGATCTCGACCTCGACCTCGGTCCCGACGACGACGACGACGA